GCTAATCTTTAATGGAAAAGATTCAATATGTTCCCGAATCGCAAGTTTTATATTTTCTGGAAAAAGATTAGCACTTGGTTGTTTTCCACGTTGATCTCTTGGTGACATGCCTAGTCTAGCCAAATTTCTTATACGTCTAACACGCTTGACAGAAATTGTATGAAGAGATATAAATGCTTCCAAGCAAATGGAAATTTTGTTAGATTGCTGCAATACAAAATATTCATATATAGCTGCTTTAGTTTTATTGTTTATATCCTTCACATCTTGTAAGTAAATGTCTTGTTCGTCCTTTGTTTTCAAAGAATAAAATCGCGTGAAAATATGTGTCTTTTCACCATCGCTTAATTATTCGAAACATCTTTTTCGACATCTGGATAAAAGCAATGTTTTGCAGAAAGTAGGTTTATAAAAATAAGAATATGAATAAATAATAATGTTACTATTTTTACCTGCAAGACTGTCCAATCTGCTTGGCAACAATATCTCTACCCTTATAGGATTTGTACGACTTTCCTTCGATTCGTGCTTGTTTAACCACACTTCGTTTATATTTTTCATCATTTCTCAACCTTTTTCCCCCTCTTTTTTCTACGTTTTCTTCTATTATCATAGCACCTGCTTAAACACTAATATAACGCAAATAACTAACTACCTTAGATAATATATAACTACTAATAAACAAACGTTATAACCTTACTTTTGAAATAACATTTCATTTCATTTTTGCAGGAAGATCATACGTCCTAGGACGCGTGCCTATTCATGTGATTTCATAGAGACTACTGACGGGACACGTGCCATTTTTACATATAAGGAGCGCTTTCTTTTATGTCATCTGGGTTACTCGCGAGCAGTACCAGAGCTGCTCCTGACTCTAATTGACCGTTCTTTTTAACGGGGCTTGTTGATCTGGAGCAACTCCCACATGTTCTCTTCTCCCCTCAAGCACATTGTCACTTGTCTTGTCAATTGTCATTGGGTTATCGGTTTAATGTCAGATAGATTTTATATATCTTTTATATATTATAATAACGAGGTTTTTCGCTGATTAAAGATTAAAATGAATACAAAAAATAGATTTATTGAACTTAATAATCTACAACTAAATAAAAAATCTGATGTGTCCAACACATGACTTTCCTATCTAGTTATTACAGGCTTTTTCCGGTTATTTTGTACAACCTATTGCAGCACCTCCATAAATGTTTAGAGGATAAACTAAATATATACATTTTCCACATACATTTACATCGAAACATTTTTCTATAGATATTCATTGAAAATGAAAATACTGAAAAATTTAAATTTTGCACTTTTCCTACAATTTTTCCATTACGGTCCATTTTAGAAAAATCATGTATAAACAAAAATTATAGAGATTGATATCGCAAACAACTTTTATTTCAACAATTTTGATAAAAATCAGAATTTTGCCCATTTTGTCAAATTTCTCGAATACGGACCATTTCAGGAAATTTTGACAAAAAGCAAAAATTATAGATAATAATATTAGAAATAACGCTGCATAAACGTAGAAAAAAATAGAAGGGACTAATCGCTAATTAAGGTCAAATTACTTAATACTAGAATAAAATTTTGAAAAATACTAAAAAAGTTAGTAGAAAAGAAAGAGAAAAGGTTAAGAGAACAATAACAAAGTATGTAGAAAATCATTCCCCTAACTTTTTGAATAAAAAAGTTTGTAGAAACATGTAAACGTAAGCTTACAAAGCGACGACGGCGACGATGAGGATCAAAATTATTTTAGATTTCTTGTAGAAATTTTTTCACATTTGTCAAGATAAAAATTTTTTTATATTATTTGTCTATTTTCACTTTAATCTTCTACTGTCTACATACAAATTACGATCGAAAAAGATTACGTAAAATATATTATAAATTATCCATCGTTAATATTGCCATATAAAGGTAAAAAATATTATGATGATAAAGAGTGGGTAATTTATAATTAATAACGCTGTACAAACGTAGAAAAAAATAGAAGGGACTAATCGCTAATTAAGGTCAAATTACTTAATATTAGAATAAAAAATGTTGGCAAAAATACTAAAAAAGTTAGTAGAAAAGAAAGAGAAAAAGTTAAGAGAACAATAACAAAGTATGTAGAAAATCATTCCCCTAACTTTTTGAATAAAAAAGTTTGTAGAAACATGTAGACGTAAGCTCACAAAGCGACGACGGCGACGATGAGGATCAAAATTATTTTAGATTTCTTGTAGATATAATGAAAAAAAAAATGAAATTTTTTCACATTTGTCAAGATAAAAATTCTTTATATTATTTGTCTATTTTCACTTTAATCTTCTACTGTCTACATACAAATTACAATCGAAAAAGATTACGTAAAATATATTATAAATTATCCATCGTTAATATTGCCATATAAAGGTAAAAAATATTATGATGATAAAGAGTGGGTAATTTATAATAAAATTTTGAAAAAATATTGGCAAAAATACTAAAAAAGTTAGTAGAAAAGAAACAGAAAAAGTTAATAAAAAGTAATTAAACACCAAAAAATATGATAATCATACAATAAGAAAAGTAATAATTTTATTTATTTCACTTTTTTTTGTAACTTGTATCTTGAAAGACGGATATTATTAGATATCAAATAAATAATTAAAAGGATACAAGTTCAAGACAACAAAGATCAAAATTTCTTCACATTGGTAGATTTCTCAAGGAAAAGTCTTTATATTATTTGTTTATTTTTACTTTATTCTTTTATTTTTTATTAATACTATATAGTCTATATACAAATTACGATCGAAAAAGATTACGTAAAATATACATTATATACATTCATATAAAAAAAGTTTGTAGAAACATGAGTATGCCTAAGCTCACAGACCTGTGTTTCTATTAAATATTATTATTTAAATCTTATTTTCGCGGTTTCCAAGTACCTTTAATAAACTAATATTTGATATAATAATTGGCAAAAATACTAAGAAAGTTAGTAGAAAAGAAACAAAAAAGTTAAGAGAACAATAACAAAGTATGTAGAAAATTATTCCCCTAACTTTTTGAATAAAAAAGTTTGTAGAAACATGTAAACGTAAGCTCACAAAGCGACGACGGGGACGATGAGGATCAAAATTATTTTAGATTTCTTGTAGATATCATGAAAAAAATGAAATTTTTTCATATTTGTCAAGATAAAAATTCTTTATATTATTTGTCTATTTTCACTTTAATCTTCTATTGTCTACATACAAATTACGATCGAAAAAGATTACGTAAAATATATTATAAATTATCAATCGTTAATATTGCCATATAAAGGTAAAAAATATTATGATGATAAAGAGTGAGTAATTTATAATGAATAACGCTGTATAAAATATTGGCAAAATACTAAAAAAGTTAGTAGAAAAGAAACAGAAAAAGTCAAGAGAACAATAAAAAAAAGTTTGTAGAAATATGTGAACATCTAACGAAAATTATTCTCCTAACTTTCATATTTTAAAGTGTTTATATTTACAAGTGTTTTCTACAAAGTTTTTTTTTTTATTTTAACTAATAATTAGACAATTTGACTATTGTTACAGTGATTTCTAAGACAGGGGATACCAAATTATATAATATCATTAAAATGAATAAAACGAAATTTTGTTTATTTATTGTCTTATTATACCCTTAATATAGTGTACAATTGACCATATTTCAGTATTAGAAAATATTATAATATATAAGGGTGCTAGTCTGAATAGAACTCTTATCTGAGCGAAAGCATATTTAAAATTGTATACATGTATGAATATTATTTTAATTTTATTATTCTTCTTAGAGGTACAGGCGGTTTCTAGCCACACGAAATTTAATAATGACAGCTCTGTGATAATTTTAAATTAATTAGATCTTCGGACTGAGTTCGGTGTCGCTATGAGTGAACTACAGAACTACAGTAACAAAGATTTAAATATATATAAATGTAAATTTTAAATTTATTATTCTTCTTAGAGGTAGAGACGGTTTTTAGCCGTACGAAATTTGATCATTTAGAGGATATTAAAAACTCGTAAATTCTTTTTTCGTGTCTTAGAGGAATATGCATCTGTTAGTTTCTAATAAATACTAGAATTTTTCTATATCCGAGTGTAAGAGGTTGTGATTTTAAAATTCTCCTCCTAGAAGCTGTAAGACCTTGCCGTTGGTGGAGGGGCTCAGTAGCTCCCTGTTTTCGGGCCAATGGGACGGAAATAGGTAGTGAAGCCAACAAACAGCTTAAATGGGTCGGTCGGGTACTCCATTGAAAATTTTAGTTAGCGATTAAGTTATTTCAAAATTCCCTTTTATTTTTTTCTCCGTTTGTACAGCGTTATTCATTATAAATTACTCTTTACCATCATATTATTTTTTACCTTTCTATTCTTTATAATATGATGACAATATTAACGATGGGTAATTTATAAAACATAACCCTGTAGCATTAAAATAAATATAATTTTTCTTTCTCTTTGTTTCAGGTCAGTACTCATTAGCACCGACAATAACAAAAAGACAGTTAGAGTGAAAATGGACTGTTAAATAATATAAAGTAAAAATCACAAACTCTTACCTCGGGAAATCTATAAATGTGAGCAGAAAGACAGTTAGAGTGAAAATGGACTGTTAAATAATATAAAGTAAAAATCACAAACTCTTACCTCGGGAACTCTATAAATGTGAGCAAAAAGACAGTTAGAGTGAAAATGGACTGTTAAATAATATAAAGTAAAAATCACAAACTCTTACCTCGGGAACTGTATAAATGTGAGGAAATTTCACCTGATCTTTTTCGATCGTAATTTGTGTATAGACTATATAGTGTTAAAAAGTAAACTGAAAATCAGAGACTTTTACATTAAGAAGACCAAACGTTATTTTATATTACATTTATTATATCCATCTTCAATTACTTTACTTTTTCATTGTCATTATTTATATATTGTTACACTAAGTTAACTAAATTGTATTTTTAATTGAGAAACATGAGATCAAAAAAGAGGTCACAAAGACAACAAAACAAATTAAATAAGAAACACATTGAAATTAAACGCAAAAATGAGGAATATCAAAAAGATGAACGTTTAAAAAATAAAGAATATAAAAGAATTATCAGACAAGACGACTTGTATAAAGAACGCGAACGCTTAAATAATATAAAATTAACTCAAAAATTAAGAGAAGACGAGATGTACAAAGAACGCGAGCGCTTGAGTAATAAAGAATCAATGCAAAAAATAAGAGAAGACGAGATGTACAAAGAGCGCGAACGTTTGAGCAATAAAGAATCAATGCAAAAAATAAGAGAAGACGAGATGTACAAAGAGCGCGAGCGCTTGAGCAATAAAGAATCAATGCAAAAAATAAGAGAAGACGAGATGTACAAAGAGCGCGAGCGCTTGAGCAATAAAGAATCAATGCAAAAAATAAGAGAAGACGAGATGTACAAAGAGCGCGAGCGCTTGAGCAATAAAGAATCAATGCAAAAAATAAGAGAAGACGAGATGTACAAAGAACGCGAGCGCCTTAGTAATAAGGAATCAAAAAAGAAAGTAAGAGAAGACAAGACGTATAAAGAGCGCGAGCGCTTGAGCAATAAAGAATCCATGCAAAAAATAAGAGAAGACGAGATGTACAAGGAGCGCGAGCGCTTGAGTAATAAAGAATCAATGCAAAAAATAAGAGAAGACGAGATGTACAAAGAACGCGAGCGCCTGAGTAATAAAGAATCGAAGAAGAAAATAAGAGAAGACGAGATGTACAAAGAACGCGAGCGCCTGAGTAATAAAGAATCGATGAAGAAAATAAGAGAAGATGAAGAATATCGACAAAAAGAAAAAAATAGAGATAAAATAGCCAAGCAAAATAAAAGAAAATTGGACTTATTCAAACAAAGAGAGTTATACTATAATTCCCTGATGAGAAGTCAGTCAGGTGCGGCCAAAATTTATTTACAATTTATAAAAGATAAGGCAATTTTGCCTGACTTGATATGCTGTTGCTGCGAAGGATTATTTTTCTCTCATTCCGTTGTCAAATACCTGGAAAACATGGTTCGGCAAAAATATTCAGACGATTTTCATGATAAAATTTTTAATTATGACTCTGCGTACATATGTAAAACCTGTCAAAATTCTGTAAATAAAGGTAAAATACCAAAATTAGCTACTAGCAATGGATTAAAATTCATTGATATTCCAAACTGTTTGAAAATAATGACAGCCCTTGAAGAAAGAATGGTAGCTCCTTATATTAATTTTATGCAAATACGACCACTAAAAACATTTGCTTTGAATCCACAATTAGGAATAAAAGGTAGCGTTGTAAATATACCAATTGAAATTAACGATATGTTACAAGTGCTACCACGGAAGTTCGATAATATGGCTACACTTCAAATTAAATTGAAACGACACATGCTTCACTCTACGCATTACATGTTTGAATCAATTCGCCCAGCCATAGTTTGTGAAGCGTTGAAATATTTAATTGAAACGCCATTATACATAAATTTAATGAAAAAGTTGATTTTATTGTGGACAAAGGTGATGTAAAGAACGACGAAAATGATGATATTGAGGAGACAAATATTTTAAAGGATGACAAAAGTATAGATTCTGAATCTGATCCTGAAGAAGACACGAATGATGAGGTAATGTTAATTGACCAAAACAAAGAATTGACAGATCAAGTTAAAATTATTGCACCTGGGCAAGGAAAAACACCTGTTCCATGGCATATGATAGAAGACATTGACGAATTATGCTTTCCAAAAATTTTTGGGGGACATAAATTAAATGTGCCAAAATTTATTACATATAGTGATCAAGCCAAGTCAGAGAGTAGACGCAGAGATCGCAGATCGTGTGTACCTACTAGAATATTGTATATGGCAAAGAAAAAATTAGAACAGACTTGCATTGCAAGTGTGAATATATGTTTACGAAAAACAAAACAGACAAATAATCTTAGTGTCGCCAATGTTTTAAACACAGAGTTCGTAAACAATTTAGTAAAATTTGATGTAGGTTACAAATTTCTCAAACAAGTGAGATCTTCTCCTTCTTTCTGGGAAAGTAAGAAAAAAGATTTAATGGCGATGATTAGACAATTGGGAAAACCGACAATATTCTTAACACTATCTGCTGCTGAATCGTGGTGGCCTGAATTAATAAAAACATTGATTAAATTAAGTCGCAGTGAAATCATATCGTTGGAAGAAGCCTTGAATTTAGATGCTCATGAAAAAAGTGAACTAATTCGAAATGATCCAGTAACTTGCGCACGCTATTTTGACTACAAAGTTAACAAATTTATGATATTATTGAAACAAAAAGATAGCATTTTTGGAAATTATTTGCTGGAAGACAGTTACGAGAGAGTGGAATTTCAAATGAGAGGATCGCCTCACGAACACATTTTTTTGTGGCTGAAAAATGCACCAAAATATGATCCATCAAACCCAGATAGTATCGAAGAATGTATTTCCTTTATTGATACATACATAACATGTCATTATGACGAAAAGGACCCTTATATGGCAGTCCAAAGACATAAACATACCAATACGTGTTACAAAGGTAAAAAAAATGAACAAAAGTGTAGATTTAATTTTCCATTGCCCGTTATGCCAAGAACAATGATATTAATACCATTGAATGATGTCGAAAAGTCTGTAGAGATGCGAGAAAATTTAATGAAAATTAGAAAACTAATGAACTACTTTTACAAAAAACAAGAACAATTAAGTTTTCAGGAAGTTTTAGACAAGTTGAAATTAAATGAAAGTCAATACATTAACGCATTAAGAAGCTCTCTGAAAAGAGTACAGGTATTTTTAAAAAGAAGCAGTTTAGAAGTAGGTATAAATAGCTACAACAAAAACATATTGCACCTGTTCGAATCGAATATCGATGTTCAATTTGTATTAGAAGAATACGGTGTTGCTTCCTATATCATTAACTACGTCGGCAAGGTAGATGCTGGCTTATCAAAATTACTTAGGGATGCTGCCTCCGATATGAATAACGAAAGCAAAAACATCAAAGATAAATTTCGAAAAATTGCCAATGTGTTTTTAAACAGTAACTTAATGTCTGCTCAAGAAGCATCGTATCATGTTCTATCATTGCCATTATCGAAAAGCAGTCGACAAACAATTTTTATAAATACAAGCCCCATAAACGAACGAGCAATGATGTTGAAAACGACAAAGGAACTTGGTACATTAGACAAAAACTCGACAGATGTATTTATGGAAAATATATTCGCAAAATACAGCAACCGTTCAGCAACAATGGAAAATACTTGTTTAGCAGATTTTGTGTCTATGCATTCCAAGAAAAAGTTAAACCACGACAACGAAGACAATCCAAGTGCAGAATACCAAACAAGGCAAAAACCAGCTATAATCAGATACAGGCGTTATAAACTAGCTCAAGATCCAACCAATTACTATCGTGAACAAGTTTTGTTATTTTTGCCATGGAGAAATGAAATCACAGAAATAGAAAACGCCAATTGTGAAAATATTTACTATACCAATGAAATTGAAATAGAAGGAAACAGGCAGAAATATTCAATTATACATGACGAAATTCTAGAAAATGCACTAGAAAATGCACAAAATGAAATTAATAGTGTAGAACAAGTAGACATTAACGATTTTGTTGCCGATCAATTAGAGTCAGATCAGCAAGTAGATATTTTAGAACAAGAAGGCAAACAAATTGTTAATGATAAAAAGGTTAATCGTTTTAGTTGTCCAAAAAGAATTTCAGGAAAAGATTTACTAAAGTTAATGTACGATTTAAATGTTTCACAACGCGAATTTGTAATGCACGTTTTAAAATGTATAAAAGAAAGACACATTCCATTAAAAATTTTTCTCAGCGGTTCGGCAGGAGTAGGCAAGAGCACTGTAATAAATTGCTTATATCAACTTGTTACACATTACTTTGACAATCTTCCGGGTGCATATAAAGATACGTTAATAGTTTTATTATGTGCACCATCAGGTAAAGCAGCTTATCTCATCAACGGTGTAACATTACATACTGCATTTGCGTTACCGGTGTCTCAGTTTGGTGGACAAATGCCAGAATTATCCGCCGATGTTGCAAATACAATCAGAGAAAAACTATTTAACCTAAAATTAATCATTATTGATGAAATTTCTATGGTGGGCTCAACACTTTTAAGTCGCGTAGACACGCGCTTGCGACAAATAATGGGAATAAATCAAACATTCGGTGGAGTATCAGTACTTTTAGTGGGTGATTTAAATCAGTTGCCACCTGTTATGGACTCACCCATATTTAAAATTCCGGGAAAAAATGAAATGAAACAATTTTTTGATGTAAACCCCTTATGGGATGAGTTTAAGCTTTTTGAACTAACGGAAATTATGCGACAAAAGGACGAAAAACTATTTATCGAAGCACTCAATAATTTAGCAACAGGTCAAATGACTACCGATGATATTAATCTAATAAAATCCAGGACATGCACTGAGGCACATGTACCTCGGAGTGCAATTAGATTATTTGCAGAAAACAAAAATGTAGATTCATTTAATGAAATCAAAATCGACATGCAACCCGGTACTGAATATATTTCCGAAGCAAAAGATACGATTTTAGGAAAAGTAAGCGATGTGACCAGAAACAAAGTAATTGAATCGCTCAAATACAAAAGTACCACTGACGTCAACGGTTTACCGTACAAAATAAAATTTAAATTAGGCATAAAATATATGCTAACAAACAACATTGATGTTGAGGACGGACTAGTAAACGGAGCATGTGGTATACTAAAATATATATCATTTGAACCAAATTCAAATAAACCCCATAAAATTTGGCTAGATTTTCAATCGAATAAAGTAGGAAAAAATCTGATGTGTCCAACACATGACTTTCCTATCTAGTTATTATAGGCTTTTTCCGGTTATTTTGTACAACCTATTGCAGCATCTCTATAAATGTTTAGAGAATAAACTAAATATATACATTGTCCACATACATCTACCTCGAAACATTTTTCTATAGATATTCATGGAAAACGAAAATACTGAAAAATTTAAATTTCCTACAATTTTTTCATTACGGTCCATTTTATAAAAATCATGTATAAACAAAAATTATAGAGATCGATATCGCAAACAACTTTTATTTCAAAAACTTTCATAAAAATCAGAATTTTGCACATTTTGTCAAATTTCTCGAATACGGACCATTTCAGGAAATTTTTACATATAACAAAAATTATAGATAATAATATTAGAAGTAACTTTTATTTGAACAATTTTTTCTCCAAACATTAATAACAGATATATTCCATAAAATATAAAAGTGGCCTCCCATAAAGTACCCCCCAGATGTTCCGACTATGTCCAAAATCTAATCATTTCACGTCAGGCCGAAATAAACCTTAAGTTTAAAATTTAATGTTTTTTTCTCTATCCGTTTTTGAGTTTTCTTCAAAATTCGAAATTTACACATTTTCTCAACTATCTCGAATACGGTCCATTTTAGAGAAATTATGTATAGAATAAAAATTAAAGAGAATTATATTACAAACAACTTTTATTTGAACAATTTTTATAAAAAATTATTTTTTTTACATTTTGTCAAATTTCTCGAATACGGACCATTTTAGGAAAATTTTGCATAGAACAAAAATTATAGATAATTATATTAGAAGTAACTTTTATTTGAAGAATTTTCTTCTCCAAACGTAAATAACAGATATATTCCATAAAATATAAAAATGACCCCCTATAAAGTACCCCCCCAGATGTTCCGACTCTGCCCAAAATCTAATCAGCTCATTGGACGTTGAAACAAAGCTTAAGTTTAAAATTTGGTGTTTTTCTGTGAATCGGTTCATGAGTTATGCGTTATACAGACACACACACACACACACACACACACACACACAGACACACACACAGACAGACAGACATCATCGCGAAAATAGTCAAAACGGATTCAGGGGACCTCAAAACGTAAAAATCCGTCGAAAACTCGAGGTCGAAAAAAATCATGATTCCTATACTTTCCTTATATCTGTATACAGATAGGAAAGTAAAAAAGCTAGATTGCCACTGTTGGAATACATGATATCTGTAAATATTAATGAAACCTTAACCCCGATTTCTAAAAGTAACATAGTCCTAAGTATTTCGAATAAATTGCAACATCAGACAATCAGAAGACAGTTTCCAATTGTACCAGCCGAAGCTCTCACAATTCATAAGAGCCAAGGTCAAACATATAATGAAATTTGTTTAGATTTTAGTCGTTCGCGAAGAATAACGCGTCAAATGATGTATGTAGCATTAAGCAGGGTAACAAAACTGTCAGGGTTGTATATTTTGGGTGAATTTAGACCACCAAAATTAACCAAAAGACAAGATGACCCGATTTTGTCCGAATTAAACCGATTAAGAATGGAAAGAAAATTACACTTGTGCTTTAATGATTTAAGACAAACTAATGGTATGACAGTAATTTACCAAAACGTATGTTCTTTGACAAAAAAACTTAAATATATATTGAAAGACGAATGGTATCAAAAAGGTGACATATTGATACTTTCAGAAACATTAACCCAAACAAGTGATACAATTAGAATTCCCCACTTTAAAGAAATATTTAGATCCGATACAAATGGTTGTTCTCGTGGAGTAATTTGTTTTGCAAAAAACAATATTTTAATTACTAATATTCATCATGTGCTTGATATGAATGATAAAAAATCATGTCACGTGGAATTATTCAGTTTCAAAATCAACGATTTTTACATTGTAAGTGGATACAAATCACCATCATGTCCAAATCATGTGTTTGAAAAAATGTTTGATCAAATATTAAGTGAAAGAACACAAACAAACTCTGAAACTGTAATAATAGGAGATTTTAATTTTAACATGCAATATCATCCTGATGTATCAGTTATTAGCAAAATGTTCAATAAATATAATTTACATACATTACTTCCACAAGATCTATCAACAACTGAGATGAATACTCAAATTGATGTAATATTTTCAACATATTCGTTTATGATAGCTGATATATACGAAACTTACTTTTCATATCATAAACCAATTTTTGTTGTTTTAAACAATGAACAGAAAGATTTGAAAAATGACGCGATTATTCAGTCAAAAAAAAATATTGAATACACAACACAAAATACAAGTTTCAATATGAAATATGTCAATGACGAAAATAATGAAAAAATTTTCGATTCGCATACAGAGAAACATGTACATAATATTCATTTAACTGTTCCTGATATAATGACAATACTCTCAGAAATCTACAATATAGATACGACAATATCTGTAATCGATTATCGATTCGCTTTACAGGCAATATATTGCAAATATGAAAATTTTATTAACGCATTAAAAAGAGATATAGCTCAAGTTGAAAGAGCAACTTTTAATAATCATCCTTTAGATTATCACAGAAAAGATAAATTATATTTTAATGCACTTGAAGAGAGAGCTAAAATAGTTAAAACTGAGGGCGACGGTTCTTGTTTATTTAGATCATTTTCTCTATGTATCTTTGGAATAGAAAAATTCCACATAAATATGCGTGTTTTATGTTGCTTTATTTTTGAAGAATATTGGTCAGAATTCGATAGAATCGTCGTAAATCTAAGTGACTATACTTGTATGAAAATTTTAATACACAATACAGCTGATATTAGAGTTTGGGGCGATGCTATACATACCAAGGCTATTTCAGTAGCCTCGCACCGCAATATTTACCTGTATAATGAAATAAATGAAAATGATAAAGACAGATACAGTACATTTGAAGACCTACAAAGGAAATGCGACGCCAATCAATTAAATACAATACATTACATATTTCCATCTAATGTACCAGGCAATATTTTAGAAACGGTTGACATATTAAAACCAATTGCAGTGTTATTAACAGACATAGGTACTAATTCCGCTCACTATTCTGCAGTTCTTCCAATCCATTACGAATCGCAACTTTTGCGACCAAAATTTTATGGTGATAGAATACAAGTTGATAGTGAACCAGAAGCACCAAATAGCATTATCGAAATTTCAGATTAAGCGGAACATATATATGAACTGTCCCTAAAGATAAGAAAAATAAAAAAATTGTACTGCTAAAACAACAAGTAAAACAAAAGCATGGTGAAGTAAATACAGTATCTAGAAGGGTAATTTGAGTGTAGCTGTATACTTTAAGAAGGAGTAACTCTAACAAGCGATAAAATTAAAATTGAAAATATTCTGTTTCTGCAAAGCCACAAATAATCTAATGAATTATCAATAAAACGTCCCAATGAAATTTCTGATTTGTATATGAATGTGTCGACGGTAGTAAATATCTTTGTACAATTTATCAGCACAACCGCTTTTTTGATCGTTTCTTCTCGTTCATACTATTTATTTATTGTTATTATTTTAAGTGTAAAGCTACCATTTCGCAAGCAGAGGCAGAGACCGACTTCAAAACGCGTTTGAACACATGTAGTTATATGAAATACATTTCGATAGAAGCGACCGACGACATTAGATTTAGTATGACAATATTTGTCGCTTCTCTTTTGTCTCGGTCTCGCGTTGTTTTTCGCGCGTTGCCAAATGGTATCTTTGAGTTACTTGAATTTGTATTTCTTTCTTATTAAAGTAAATATTTTTTTTATTTTGTTCAATTAGATCTTTTGAGACAGCTAAGTAAATGTACTTATGATTTGTTTTAAATCTTCTTTCTAATTTCTTATTAAAGTAAATAATTTTTTTATTTTGTTCAATTATATCTTTCGAAACAGCTAAGTAAATGTACTTATGATTTGTTTTAAATCTTCTTTCTAATTAAAGTTAATAATTTTTTTATTTTGTTTTTATTTTGTTGTGTACTTTTTATTTTTTTACATTCAATTAGATCTTTCGATGTACTTATAATTTGTTGTAAATAAAGAACAGGCGGCTGCAAGCCGCATTTTTTTTCTCTATTAACTTTTCTACAAACTTTTTTAATTTTCTCCTAACTTTCATATTTTAAACTAATTATTTAGACATAACTATAATAACGTTCGTCTATTAGTTTCAATTACCTATTAATAATTTTATATTTAAAATCAGAATATTGCACATTTTGTCAAATTTCTCGAATACGGACCATTTCAGGAAATTTTGACAAAACACAAAAATTATAGATAATAATATTTGAAGTAACTTTTAATTGAACAATTTTCTTCTCCAAACATAAATAACAGATATATTCCATAAAATATAAAAACGGCCTTCTATAAAGTACCCCCCCAGATGTTCCGACTTTGTCCAAAATCTAATCATTTCACGTCAGGCCGAAATAAACCTTAAGTTTAAAATTTAATGTTTTTTTCTTTTTCCGTTTTTGAGTTTTCTTCTAAATTCGAAATTTACACATTTTCTCAAATATCTCGAATACGGTCCATTTTAAAGAAATTATGTATAGAATAAAAATTATAGAGAATTATATTGCAAACAACTTTTATTTGAACAATTTTTATAAAAAATTATTTTTTTTACATTTTCTCAAATTTCTCGAATACGGACCATTTTAGGAAAATTTTGCATAAAACAAAAATTATAGATAATTATATTAGAAGTAACTTTTATTTAAAGAATTTTCTTCTTCAAACGTAAATAACAGATATATTCCATAAAATATAAAAATGACCACCTATAAAGTACCCCCCCAGATGTTCCGACTTTGCCCAAAATCTAATCAGCTCATTGGACGCTGAAACAAAGCTTAAGTTTAAAATTTGGTGTTTTTTTGTGTATCGGTTCATGAGTTATGCGTTATACAGACACACACACACACACACACAGACACACACACAGACAGACAGACATCATCGCGAAAATAGTCAAAACGGATTCAGGGGACCTCAAAACGTAAAAATCCGTCGAAAACTCGAGGTCGAAAAAAATCATGATTCCTATACTTTCCTTATATCTGTATACAGATAGGAAAGTAAAAATACCGTCTACTTGTTTTTAATGAAGATTTCGACAGAGCATCCATAGGTAATGAATTAAAATTTAATAAATGTATACATACTGTGCATAAATTTATAATTCAGATGAATAATTTGCCAGGTCCCTAATAAATCATTGTAGGGTAACTTCAAAAATGCCATTCAATTCACCAGTGGTTGAAAATACTGATGCCCAATCATCTACTTCTGTGGCAAATCAAGTACAATTAGCATCTTCGGAAAAGTGCATTTGGTCATATAATAAAACTATGGCACTTATAAAACGATTTAAATTTTAAATAACTGCACTAACTGCACTGACTTTGACAACTGACAAGTGTCAATAAAGGAGTTCGCCGTAGACCGTTATCAGTCGTTCTGTTTTGACGTCATAGGGTTCCATACTCTTAACATTAAACACTTAAAAAGAAAGCACTCATAATGTGTTTATGTATGGTAACTTCAAATATGATAAAATGTCAATTTTGATAAAAGTGGACACATGCCCTTTCTGCATGGGACGGTTCAATTGGTTTATTCCCGATGACGTACACATTTCAAATTTTAAATTATAAATGGTTTTTCTTTAAAAATTTTTGGCTTTTTTAACAAACTGATTATTTTGAAATACTTGTATTGTGACTAACTATTACAATATAATTTATAAAACAATAGAGTGAAACCCTCGTATCTCAATTTTTTTTTAAAAAAATTTTTATTATGTTATTCCAATGAATACCTCGTAAGTCATTATAGGACTAAAAATGGCTGCTCTACCTCGAGAGCTGTGACATCTAGCGACCTGAATGTAAACCACGTATCCATTTTGTGGAATTTAAATAAAACGAAAACCTTGTATGTCACAGAAAACCTTGTAAGTCACAACGTGGTAATTGCAGTGACATATATAGATTAATAGACTGCTCATCCATATATAAACAAGACGACGAAAAGCGGGTCATATTGCTTGGCTTGCCGAGTGCTCACCAGGCAGAATCGGTCTGGCCCAAATTAGTTTAAAACACATATTTCATCAAAGTAGGAATTGAATTAAAAAAAAAATCTGTATATTTATTTCAAGACAGGAGCTTGCGTTAGGTATTTTAAAAAAGGATTTTGAGTCGTAACGTCTAGTTTCCCAATTTTCAAAACATTTTAAGAGATCTAACCAATTTTGAACATAGATATAAACAATTTTACACTCATGTGTATATAACTAACTTTAGACCATGACTACTGTATAGTGGCACTATTCGGACACTTGATTATTCTTTTAAAATTTATTTCGCATTATAAAAGCAGATATTATGCAAAAATTGAATGAACTTTTTAAAGATTTAAAGTTAGTAGCTTTTTCACATTCTAAAGTTTGTCCCTTTAGACAATTAAGGATTATTTTGGCGGTGAATGTGAATGATTTGATGAATAATAATAAAATTCCACCAGTGGAAATCTGATCAACATCATAGTAAAATGAACTAGGTACAAAGTGCAATCTTAGTTGACGTCAAGATCCGTGTACCTTAGCATCAGTAAGAGGGAAATAAAGATTCTGACTTACAATCACAAAAAGAACGTATAACTAAGCTTAGTCGATGTAAGTTAGCTCAGATTAGTGGTAAAAAGAAAGCGACTATTAATAAAAAGAAAAGTAATCCAGCTAAAACAAGAATTATGGCTACTGTCTTTAATAATGATATTGTTGCCAGTACTAGTAGAATGTTAAGTGTTGAGTTATCTTCTTCAGGCAATGGATGGATATACGTATGCATAATTTAAAATGTTTGGTTAATTATTATTATTATGTTTAATGTGTTTTTGCAGTTAATGAACATATATCTACTACTGAAGCAGATAATGAAGATTTGTGTGCTGCTAAATAGCTTTGCTTAATTTACAAAACTTTGTTTAAAAGCAGAAAATTGGGATCGATTGTTCAACACAAGTGAAGAGTGGTGATTTAGTTGATCCGTTTTCAAACAGAATTGTTAGTGCTAAAGAACTATCTACTTTAATAGGATTACAATCCTTCCAGTTATTAGCCACCATTGTGGAATTAGTAGCAGAGTTGTTTCTAAAGAATAGGAAAAAGGAAATCAGTTATGTCTGTAAAGGATCAAGTTATATTTACTTTTATGAAGTTGAAAACTTATATGCAAGATATAATGTCTTATTCATTTTATTTGGAGTGAATGAAACTTTTTATCGTTAAATTTTTTAACAGTTTTTAATAAAACTGGTAGAAGTTCTTAGTATGGTATAATTCGGCCTTCAAAACAAGAAATATTAAATAATGTGCCTCTATGTAAGTAAGAGTACTAAAAAATTACTCTGACTACAAAAACAGGCATACTATTAAAATATTGACTGGAGTGTCACCTACTGGTCTCATTACTTACAAAAGTGAAGCATATGGTGGTAAACTTCAGAAATAGACATTTTTTAACAAAGTTCAATACTTGAAGTGTGTGAATCATTTCTCGATAGTAAAATGTTTAACAAAGGTTTTCTTATTGGAAACATAACAGAAGCTGAAGGTATACAAATTATACAGCCTCCTTTACTCAATAAAAAAAATCAGTTCAGCCATCAAGAGGCTTTACTTAATGCCAAAATTGCCAGAGCTAGAATTCACATAGAAAGAACCTATCAAAGAATAAAAGTGTTTGTCTCTCTGTATTGGTACTTATGTCTGTTTTTCTTCTATTTATATTGAGTTTTTATTATACGATACTTCTCTGTATCTAACTAACTTTTAAAATGTACTTGTAAAGCCCAGATAGCTCTAACTCGGGCCTTTGAATATAATAATATTTATGTAATTGTATTTACAATAAATACTTTATTATTAATAATATTATTATTATAATTAATTATAATTCGTAAAATTATTATAAACGTATTTACCTTGTACCTACTTGTATTGATACTTGCGTGAAAAATGAAATGTTACTTTTTATATTTCTGTAGCTGGTCTTACAAACCTTTATAGAGCAATTCACCGTTTAAATTTAAAAACAAAACAAGTTTTGATACTCAAATAATTAAAAAACTTAAAACAGAACATAAGTATAATTA